TTATTATTATTATTATTATTATTATTATTATTATTATTATTATTATTATTATTATTATTATTATTATTATTATTATTATTATTATTATTATTATTATTATTATTATTGCTGTTATTCTTGCTTCAATTTTTTCAATTTCTAAAAGTTTATTTGTTGACAAAGTTTGCACTACAATTATCGTTCTCCATAACTTACTAAAATTTACTTAGCTATGTTTGTTTGATGCTTAAAATATATTTAAACCCAATGTGTTAAATTCAATACTGGTAGTGTTTGAAGTTTTTTTTTCATATAAATTTTTTTTGTTTTATTCACTTTAGTTTAATAATACCGCCGTCAAAACTGGTCAAACTTTGGCAAATCTTTTTCCACAGTTTGACATTTTTTACACAATTTAGAAAATGAAATGTTTAAATGAACATGAAACTAACTATCGCATGATAATAAACTTTCTTTTTTATAATAAATAATCATTTATTCCAAAAATAATGATAAATAATCATTTTTATGATAAATAAATTATCATTTATTCCTCAAAATAGTAATCAAAGCAATGTAAATAGCAAAAATCTAAAAAATAACAATCGAAAAAGATAAAATAAAAAGGAAAAAAATTTTGAATCAGTTAAAATTATGCGAAAATATCAATGCTATATGTTAATATAGGAAATATGATAATACATGGGATAATAATTACGATTGATGAAAATATTATCAAAGTGTAAAATTCATCACGTCATATTAAATTTAAACATATAATTGGAAAATAATAAATCAAATAAAAATTTTTGATATAAAAAAATGATGATTTATTAAATTTATTTTAGCAAATTTTTTGTGCCATCTATTTCTGAAACTGAACAACAAAAACTATTATTAAATCACTTAATTAAATTAAATTAAATTAATTTGATTTAATCTAATACAAAAAGAGTGCAATTTTTCCATGGTATATTTGCACTGAATTAAATTGAATCAATTTAATACCAAGAAATGTAGCAACTTTATTTTCAATTAACTTCTACACTACCATTCGTAATTTTTTATATTTCAATTAAAAACTTGAATTGACAAGAACTTGAAATGAACGGCATCAATTATCTAATGATAGCTATCCTAATATTTGCAAATATATTTCTGTTCGTGTAAAAAATTTATGAATAAATTTAATTTTAATTAAAATAAAAATTGTTTATTTATTTATTTATTTATTTTAGGATGTTTCTACTATTGAATGCATTATTATTTAATATTTTTGGGAAATTTACATATGGTGATTTTGCACTTTTTGGTCGACAACCTACAGCAATTAATCCAACATTATATAATTCGGAAAATGATTTAATCATTCAACTTGATGATGTGACCTTCAATGACACCGTCTTTTGCATAAATGGCAATGATTGTGTTGCATATGTTGTTGAAGCAAGTTTTTCATTCAATTAAACAAAAAATTAAAATCATTCGTTGTGGAATTTGGATGATTAATTACATTCGTACAAAAGAAAAAAAAGGTTTCTATAAAATATTACCACAGTAGTAATGATTAATAGCATTATTAATTGATTGATTAATTCTATGAAATTTCATATTTTGTAAAGTTTTAAAGGTAAAAATTTTTTTTTNTTTTTTTGTCATCCAATAATGCAATATTTTAATTTCTTTCATTTTCAAATTTAATTTTAATTATCCAATTATGAAGCTATCAAATGAAATGTAGTGCATAATTTTTGAAATCAGTTAACATTTCATCGAATTTATATTCATTTATCTAAATTAACTTTTGCTAATTAGCCAGTTTAATGAAATAGTTCATATTGAATTTCATACAATACATAGCAATTAAAAATAATTTCGCTAACAAAAGATTAAAATTTTTTTTATTTAATTTGTAAATATAAAAGAAAGCAGATGGTTTTCGTATTGAATTTAAGCGGAATTAACATGCTAGTATTATATTTAAAAAAAATTATTATAAGCACTTGATAACATGAAGAAATAAAAAGTAAAAATAACAATTAGATATTTTATTGATTTCAATCCAATTAATCCAATTGTTAAATTAGATATTTCATTGATTTTAATTTGAATAATTCAGATATCTTATTGATTTCAATTCAGTTATTTCAACTATTAACTATTTTATTAGGTATTTTAAATAAATTATTAGATATTTTATCGATTTAAATCATTGAATTTAACTATTAGATACTTTGTTCATTTCAATCTAATTAATTCAAATAATTTGATTTGTTTGTGATTTAAAGTAGCGCCAAAAAGAGATTTAAATTTTTGATTTAAATTAAATTAAATTTTCGGTTTAATAATGGATAATTTAAATTTTTGTTAGTATAAGAGTGAAAAAAAAGAACCTCCTATCTATTATTATTAACATAAATTTTTCGTAATTATTTATCATTCTTTCTTATAATTAAATTTAAAATCTTGAATGACTAAATTTAAATTCATAAAAATAATCAAATTTTCTTTCAAAAAAAAAAAAAAAGACTAAAACAATTTTCAGTTTTACTTAGATTGGTGTGGACATTGTCGTTCATTTGCTGAAACATACAAATTATTAGCACGTGATGTTTATGGATGGAATAAAGTGGTTCGTTTAGCGGCCATAAATTGTGCTGATCCATTTAATGAAGTCACCTGTCAAACAAATGCTGTCCAATTTTTCCCATATATTAAGGTTTTTTTTTCCTTTTCTAGCATTCATTCATAAAACATGATACGATCACGTCTTTACGTGTAATTATGTCAAATACGTTTCACTTGAGATATGATAAATATTTTGCAGAATAATTGTAAGAAAAAAAAAAGAAAGAAATTAAAAAAGTTGTCAAAAAAGAAGAACAAAGTAGTGGAAAAAAAAATTCAAAGAATCCTTTTTGACGAAAAAAAAGAGTTCAAAAAAAAAAAAGAAAATTCATTGAATTGTGAAAAAAAAAAAAGGGATGGTACTTTTTATTTATTCTTTTCAAGTTTTCAATTTCGTATAATATTTTCATTATGGAAAATTATATTTTTTTTCAAAGAAAAGAAAAAAAAGGTATAATTTTGCAGTATTTTCCACGAAATTCAAGCAGTGCAAAATCAGGTATACCAATGGGAACACCACAATCAGTTGGTGAACTACGAAATTTGATTACACAAATGATTCTACTTGAATATAATACAAATCGTTCATCTGATTGGCCAAATTTTGATTTTTTACGGAAGTAATTATTTCTTTTAATAATTAATTTAAAATTAATAAATAAAAAATGGAAAAAACAAAAAAAATTTGCATAGTTTTTAAATTTTACAAAAATTTCGAAAATTAATCATTATTTTAGCATTGAAAAATATAGTGAATTATGGCGAGATGTGAATGGAAATGTACCATTATTGGTGATTATTTTTGAAGAAGGAAACGAATCACTTATTGGTGCTGAAGTATGAATAGAAAGTTTAATTGACAAATTAAAATTATCAATAGTTTAGTTGACAAGTTAAAATCATGAATAGTTTAATTGACAAATTAAAATTATCAATAGTTCAGCTGACAAGTTAAAATTGCGAATAGTTCAGTTGATAAACCAAAATTAGGAATAGCTTGCTTGACAAATTAAAATTCATTTCAACTAGAAAAAGAGGTTATTTTTAGGAAAATAATAATAAAGGTATTTGTTTAAAAAAAAGTTAAATTTTAAGAATTAAATATTAAATTCAAATTTTTTTTGAAAAAAAAGAGACACAATATTAATTAGATTAATTGTATTGTATCGGAGGATAAATTAAAAATAAATGCATATCACTTTAATTAGCTTTACCAAAAGTAATAATTTGTTAGACACATTTCATATCATGCAAATTTTGAGCATTGACCTATGACCTGTGCTGGAAAATACCGGAGTGAATTTATCTAAACGAATGATTAGCTTATCCTAAACTTTATCACAAATTATTAAATTATATAATTACTTATGTAAACAATACAAATTGCTTCAAAAAAAATTTATTGACTAATTTTTTTTCCTGTAATTAATTACATAGTTTTTCCATTTTCCTTAATTACTTCATTTTAATTTAATTAATTTCATTAATTAAATATTTAGTTATTGCTTGATATGACTAAATACAATGATCGTTTGGTTGCACGACGATCTTTAAGGAATCATTCACTTGCTGATGCTTTATATATTAAAAATTTCCCGACAATGGTCATTTATAAACGTGAACAAACGAAACCATTACTTATTGCTGAGTGAGATTTCTTTCCTTTTCCTTTTTTTTTTTCTAAATAAAAAATTTCATTAATAATTTATTCTTCTCTTCTTACAATTAGCATTAATTAATGAATAATTTTCTTTTTAAAATTTCACCATCATTTTCATTTTGTTTTAATAATTAGAATTAATTAAAGAATGTTTTTTTTTTTTGAATGTTTTGAAATCTTTTTAGATTTTCATTTGTTTGCTTCATTTTGTTCTAATAATTAGCATTAATTAATGAAAGATTTTTTAGAAATTCTTTCTTAAATCTTTTCAAATCCTTTCTTAAATCTTTTCAAATCATCATTAGTTTTATTTTATTCTATTTTAGTAATTAGCGTTAATTAATGAATGCTTAATTAATTAAAAATTTCATAATTTAATTAAAATATTTTTGAATCATTAACAGTTTATATTGCAAAAAAGCATATAATACCTCGAGAAAAAAGGGAATTTTTTTGAATTACTTCCAGAAAATTCTCGTTTTTTTTAGCACTTAAAAGTTTTAGAACAAAATTTATGTTTTTTTTTGAATATTAAACGGTCCTTAAAATCTCATAAAATATGAAATTTATAACTTTTAAAATTAAAATGTAAAAATTTTTAGATTACGACGATTATTATTCAATGAATTGGAAAGATTTTTAAACATAAAAAATACAACAAATGAAACTGGAAGAAATATCACACAAAATCAATCAGTTTCTAAAGAAGATATTGTAAAGTAAGTTTTTAAAATATTAAAGCAAAAAAAAACCTGCCAGAGAAATTTTCCGGAAAATCAGGTGAAATATTCCGGAATATTTGTATCATTTTTTTTTTATGCCTTCACTATATTAATTAATATAGGTATCGACAGAAATATTTTGCATCAGAAAGAGATATATTAAAAGCTGCACGATATGCTGTATTTGATGAAGTAACAAGAAATGGTGAACATCTTGCTGGTAATAATCTAACCGCTCTTCGAGATTTCCTGGATGTACTCGCTAAGGTTACTGTATTTATCGTAATTAACATTAGAGCAATTGGAAACAGTAATTCATTATAGCAGAGAAAATATTGGATTCTTTTACTATTCATATTCTTCATTCTTCTGGTTTATATATTATTCTTCTGTTATAAATAGCTAATTCCATTTGTATGAAATTATTTTTTAATCCATATTAATTTCCGATATATTCAAATATTTATAGGTTTTTGCGGTTTTCAAAATCAGTAAGTGATAAATAAATAACAGTAGACGAGTAAATAAAAATTGAAATATTTATTTGATAATTCTTGACAATATTTTTTTTAATTCACATTAATTTCTGATATATTCAAACATTTATAGATTTTTGTGGTTTTGTAAGTTTATTACGAAACTTCATTTGTGCTTCAATTTTGCCTTATTTCAAAAAAGAAGAAAATTTATAAAAAATCGTTTGAAAAAAAAGAAAATAGAAATAATAAAATTGGAAATGTAGGAATAAATATTATTTCAGGATTTACCGACCAAAACAATTTATAACACTACCAATAAAACTAAGGTAAATAATTACTGTATTTATTAGAATAGTGAATAAATTACTTAAATATAATTTTTAATAATCAGATAAATGAATATTTCATCGTATTTGAAATGATAAAAATTTGTATAAATAAATTTAATTCAAAATGAAAGAGGAAAAGATGAAAGATAATTCTTTTTATTTCAAAAGATTTTACAATTTCTGTTAAGTGGGCTCATTTTTCATAATTGATTCGAAGAGATTTAATTTTGCTATTTTCAAATTTATTTACTTCGAAAAAAAATTCAAATTTATTTGAATTTTTTGCAGGAATTATCGAATAGCAAAAGAGCAGTTAAATTTTTCGAGAAAATGCGGGATTATTTAGATCAAAAAGGATTGCATGATGCGATTCCAATGAAGGAATATAAGAAAAAATTTTTAATTTTTGAAGTATAAGCCTTTTTTTTCATTGTATATTGAACAATTCAAAAATTGAATTATAAAAAAATTAAAGGTTTAATTTGAAAATTAAGTTTTAAAAAAATCGAATTTCAAAACAGTAAAAGTGATAAAAGTGATAAAAGTGATAAAAGTGTTAAACGAAATATGAAGTATTTTTCATTAATTCACTTATATAATATTAGAAAATTTAAAAAAAATGAAATAATTGAATATCTTGATAAAAAAATTTTTTGTATGAAAATGGTAAATATTTGATGAAAGATTTCTGTATTTTCCGTTTCAGGAAGAAAGCAATTTTCCGTTTCCGGTTGGGATTAACTGGGAACATTGTGCTGGTTCAAGTCCAAAATTTCGGGGTTATACTTGTGGTTTATGGACATTATTTCATGCCCTTACTATTCAAGCATATAAAAATGGTCTGAATGGTTAGTAAATGTCAATTATTTGTTTTATTTTTAATCTATATGATAAATGAATGCTTAAGGTTATAGGTCATATCATTATGACTGGAAAAATATCCTCAATTTGATGAATCAAATATACTCAATATTTAATCAATAATACATTTGGAAATGTATAAATTTTAGATTCCAAATTTGTTCCAATAACTCCATTAGTGGCAATTCGTAATTGGGTGAATCATTTCTTTGGTTGTCAACATTGTCGCGAGCATTTTCTTCGTATGACAACTCAAACTTTCCGCATTGAAAGCCAAGTTAGTTATTTTTATGCTATCATCTCTTACAGTAATAAAGTT